CGTAAAGTGACAGCACTTGTACATGTGTGTGATGTCCTCATTGGTCCGCTGCAGCAGCGACCGAGGAGCTGTGTGACTGTGTGTGTGATGTCTTCATGCTGGTCCCAGTGGGCTGCGGATTTTAACAGAGCATGGATCACAATTACTGTTCCTCAGAGGGAGAACAGCAGAAAGAGAACTGAAAGCCCTCAGACACACACATGCACATACATACACACACACACACATCTGCTTTGTTCCTTAGTCCAGCAGCTGAAATTCCCATCAGAACTTTACATCGTAAAGCCCCATCATCATCATCATCATCAGCATCGCTGCCTCTCTTTGGTTTTCTCCTTTGTTCTCCGGCCCTGCTCTCCATTCTTTCATCCATAGGTCACACACTATTCTCTTACAATATTTATATAACAGAATAGAAGTGTGTTTACTTTCATTCTTAAATAAAATCATTGAGCCAACTTCCCGCGGCAAATATAAGTTCATGACAACACAATGTTTTCAGCAGATCTGTATGTGTGTGTGTGTGTGTGTGTGTGTGTGTGTGTGTGTGTGTCAGCAGGCCTCCGCAGTGAAACCATCAGCTAGTTTGAAGTCTGTCCCCTCAGGGCTCTTTCCAAGAACAAAGATAGTAAAAGTTTCATTCTTCAAAACACAAAGTTCACTAAAAATATGGTGGTCAACGAGGTCAAATTCGTGGCCCAAAACCTTTCATGAAACGTCCCGCAGCTTCTGAAACGATGCCAATTCAAAAACACATACAAAAATCCAAAACAAAAGCGTCAACAGAAACGTGCTGCAAATGAAAAAACATGTCTCAGAAAGCAAGAGCAAAAACATTAAAGGGATAGTTCAGATTTTTTGAAGTGGAGTTGTATGAGGTACTGATCCAGAGACAGTATATCACATACAGTAGATATGGGTACGGCCTAGTTTGGAGAAGCAGGCTGGAGGGGAGCAGTAACAAAACGTATTTTAACCCATTAAAAAAAGGCGATATAAGTTTCCATTTGCAGTATAATATTTGGCGGTATGGCTCTGTTCTGGGGCCCCCTCCCTTTCTTAGACCTACAGAACAGAGCAGCATCAAAGACAAAGAGAAATGACATTGATAAGTCAGACACAGCATGAAAAGGAGGAGCTGGGGTGGAGGCGGGTTGCAAAGCAGCTTGCACAGGAAGCAGCAACAATAGGCAGGCCAGAGCAGTTTAAATAGGGTTTAATTGACAGCTTTCACACCAGCCAAAATAAACTGCACTAACTGTGCAAACGTTATAGCAGACATTTAAAGTGATATTGATTTTTTGAAGGTGGCTCAAATATGTTTCTTTACTGACCCCTGCCCACAGCAGTATTTTGCGTAGCTTTCATGTCTGACTCCGAACTGCCTCTCCAATCTGAGGGCATGCCAACTTCATCTACTGTAAGTAATGCACTGACTATGGATTAGTACCTCATAAAACCCCACTTTGAAATATCCTTACTATCACTTTAACAACTTTTGAGGACATGCAAGCTTCCTAAATGAACAGCTGAAACAATTGATGACTGTTCATGCAAAAAATAAATAAATAAATAAATAAATAAATAAATGTAGTCAAATAAAAATGCCCTATGTACATTGTTTATGGAAAGTTTACAAAATGCATGTCATCACTCTCTAATGAAACCTTGTATCTCCAAAACACCAGCTTCCAAGAGCTGGAAAAACGGCCCAATTTTCAGCTTTGTGACAATGGATAATCCAGTGTGGTTTTCAGTGGTTTCAATAGTCACTTTTTTCCATTTTGCATGTTTCTGTTGTTGTATTTGTTTTGGATTTTTATGTGGTTTTGACTCAGCTAGCTTTCAGAAGCTGTGGCACACTTCTCCAAGTAGAGATGTTTCAGACTGTTGCTGCATGTTTGGCCTCGTTGCCCACCGTACTAAAAAGATAGTCTCTGCAACAGCATAAGAATGTGTTAGCGTATGAAATGAAATCTACACTTTGTGACACACAGTCTCCTCAGAGTGTCAAAGCCTCAGTAGAAGTTTTGCACATGGTTGTTCAGGGTGCACCAGTGTGTGAGTGAGTGTCACAGAGGTGACAGCAGTGATGACTAAAGCAGAAGTCACTCCACTTGGTGACACAAGGACACACGCATGCATGAAATAAGCCACCTCGGAGGCAACATCTTGCCAGCTCATTACATTCACTTGGACTGTGGCCTTTAACACAGAGTACCACCTAGAGAGCAGCACAACCACACACACACAACCACACACACACACACGACACAAGAGCCTCTCGTTAGTCTCCAAATCCAACAAACCAAAATGGTGGAAGTGAGAAAAAACAAAAGCTAATGGTGGCTTTGTGCTCATGTGACAAGAAACATGTTATACAGCCAAAAAAAAATCTTACTTAACTTATGATGCTCTTCGTGTCATCATGAAAATACGACAACTAGAATCACCGCCTTGTGGTTGTACGCCTTCACAGACACGTCAAGTTCCTCTTACAGTTTACATTCATGTTTGTGAAAACGTGGATCCTTCACACATATCTTCCCCCGACATCACAAGATCTATACAATCAGTACAGTTTCAAGGTGAACACCCAAGATAAGAGTCACCATAAGAGTTCCTGAGATATGACGCTGAGTGATGGCCAGAAAAGTGTTTTATGCAGAACATTATGACGTTACAGTGAAGTTGACCTTTAACTTTTTGAATATAAAATTTCCATCACTTCATAATTTTATCCTATTTTGTTAATTTTGTCATAATCAGTGTATGAATTTATGAGTTATGGCAAAAAATCATGTTTCCTGAGGTCACAGTGACCGTTGAACGCCAAATTCTAATCACTTCATTGTTGAGTCCAAGTGGACGTTTGTGCCAAATTCGTAGAAATTCCCTCAAGGCATTATTGAGACATTGCGTTCACAAGAATGGGCCGTACGCACGTACAGGCAGACGGACAAACCATTATACCTCCGCCCACAGCTATCGCCGACACTGAGGCATAAAAATCCCAGTGTGAATCAATTTATTTTCACTGTGAATTTAAAAATGGTTGGCCTCCGATAGCGTGCCGGGTGGCTCGCCAACATTCACACTGGGATTTCTTTTTATTCTTTGAATGTCAATAAGGCGCCAGAGTACATAAAAAGGGATTAAAGTAGAGCTTGTCGATTAAAATAAATGTGCCAGGGGAGGATCTCCAGGACCCCCAACTCCCAAGCTCCAAATGTCTTCAATTCCTAGCAACACCTCTTTGTACACCTGATCTGTCTAGAGCTGCTGCAATTGGATTTAACCCATTTCATTTATCTTATTGTTTCTGTATTAACTGGCACCTGCCCTCCTGTCATTCTACACAAGTGCCCCCCAGCAAAGCAAGTTGACTTTCCCTCGTTTAAATTAAAAGATTTTAGGAATCAAGTCATGGGTTTGGTGCGTTTATAATGTTTTTAATGTGTTTAACAATCTAAATATAGTTAGAAGTGTGGAGAGGCTCACAGCAGGCAGAGCTGTTAAAGGCTTTGTTCCTTGTGCAGCTCTTTACTGCCGCCGACTAAAATAGGATGAAACTATCCGCATTCGAAGGTCTTGTGTACAACGTAGTTATCCCTATAGAATACCACTGTCCTGAGTCAAAGGTCAAAGGTCACGGGTCAGGGTAAGGGCCCGCTGACATGCTGCTGACTGCTCCTTCAGCCAATCATCTATCAGTTTCCATCGTCAGGCTGCGTAACTGCAGCAATCAGCTCTGTCAGCAGTTGGTCAGAGGGCAAAAGGGGGCACTGAGTGTGTGTGTGTGTGTGTGTGTGTGTGTGTGTGTATGTGTGTGTGTGTCTGTACATTCCAAGTCCTGAAGTGGCATGAGGGTCAGAGGTGAGCTGTATGCAGCCCCTCATCAGCTCTCCTGGGGGGGGCTGGTCTCACCGACACACACAGACATACACAGACACACACATTTGTTGACCACTCACTCTGTTTAGGTGATACAAGTAAGTACGAGGACAGAGTGACGGTACCACACAAAGAATCCACAGAGCAACAGTCAGAAAAACTCCAGGGGGGTTGCACTAGAGCCTCAGTAACTGCTTGTTCATTTGTAAGTAATTCAGCTACTTAAATGTGTTGCATGGCTAAAGTCATAACTAAGACAAGTAGCCAATCAACAATTAAAGACAGAGTTCCACAAAATGGCATACAATTAATTAAAAATACTGACATTTTATGATTTACACCTGCCCTAGGAGCATGTGTAATTATTTAGTTGTTACTTAAGGCCCTATCTTAAACCTGGTAAAAAGCTGTGCACAGTACAGCGCTGTCAGTGCAAGATTCAGACCAACACAGCTGTCAAAATCACAGACAGCGCCCATGTTGTGTAAGTATCAAAGAACTTGTGCTCCTCCTGTGGTCTTAAAATGAGGTATGGTCGGGCACATTTCAAGGCAGCAGAAACAATTGCTTCATTGACCAACAAAAACCTGGTCAAAATCAATATTTAAGTATTTTCCTGCTACTATAACATTTCTAATTGATTTTAAGCTCCTTTTCCTTATACACAAAGCCCTACATGGGCTCAGACCGAGCTACATCGCTAACTCCCTTGTGAACTAGTTGCCTCTAAAAACACTGCGATCATCTGCCGCTGGTTTATTAGAGGTTCCCAGAATCAGCCAGAAGAAGATCGGGGTTGCAGCCTTTGTCAATGACAACCCAAAGCTATGGAGCACACTACCTATAGATATCAGAGAAGCTAGCTCGCTACGTATTTTTAAAAGAAAGCTAAAACAGATCTGTTCACTTTAGCCTTTAACTCACTCTGACTTCCTGACACGGGTCTGAAACTTAAGCTTCACGCTGCTGCAACTTTTTAAAATCTTACTTGATTTCATTAGTTATAGATTAACAACTCAATGATTTTATGATGTCAGATTTTGTGACTTTTTAGGATTTATTTAATCCTTGTTTTAAACAGTTTTTAAATGTCTTTTTATATTCATTCTATCTATTTTCATGTGAAGAATTCATTGCTTATACTGCCCTTATTGTAAATCACTTTGTGCTGCATTTCTTGTATGAAAGGTGCTGTATAAATAAAGTTTAATACTATTTTTTTTTTTAATTATTTATTTATTTATTTTTTCTCTGCTTGTTACACACACGGGGATGCGTGGATGAAAAACAATTCGAGGCAAACTTTAGAGCGTTAGCAGACACTGGCTCACCTGTTCAAATGTTATTAAGTTCTAAAGTTACATATAAGTAGGGACGGGTGGCTTTGAGTGACAGACCGTCTGCCCATAGTGTCCTTGGTTTCTCAGTCAGCTCCACCCCTCGCTCCTCCACAGCTCCACCCTCTCATCCAAATATGGTCACTTCTGGCTCTAAAAATCAAGATGCAAATGATTGACAGGTTTGTCCATCAATTTTACAGTCTATAGTAGCAGGTAAAAAAAAAAAAAAAGACTTCCCTCCACCTACTTGACACATCACATCCATGCCTGTGTATTTTGGCCATAAGTTTAAAAATAAGAAATGGGATTGGACCTAAGTGCCCTTCAAAAGAGTAAAAGGTAACTTGCCCCCCAATCCCATACTGGCTTTGTCACCTTAACATCTCTGTGTTGAACTTTGAGTGTGTGTTTTGAATAAAAGCATTATTTCCATATAGAAGCTGTGAAGTGAAATTCCCACCTGTGCTTTTTTTTCACTCTCTTCTCATTCATTCAACTTTTACTCTCCTTCATCCTTTATGTAGCTTAATACAAACACATTCACAGCCTCTCTCACACACACACTCTCTGTCCCCCTCACACACACTCTCAGAGCACGCCTACATACAGCCGGCTCCCCTCCGCTCTGCTTTAAAGCGTTGCCTATCCAAACAGGAAAGTGGCCTCTGCCCCGGCAGCAGTAGAGGGCACAGCAGTGGAGATTTCATTAGTCACAGCTAACAGGCTAATTATCCGCTTCAGCGCACCTGTAAAACTTAACTGTGTGTCAATCTCACACCATCACAGACACTGCCTATAGGTGTGTGTGTGGGTGGGTTTGTGGACATGTGGGTCTGTGGGCGGGTGTGAACGGGTTGGCGTGTAACAAATCCGTCAGTTTCTGTGTTAATATGTGAACTGTGGGCATGTGAGCAGTTTATGTGCAGTGGTAGGACTGGCAATCAAAGCTACAGGTTATTTACAGGAAACTCTGATTCGTGGATTATTAGCTTAACAGGTGACATTACTGTTAATTACTCCCTTATTTCAGTTTTATCAGCTTTATTTTGAGGTATGAAACTTTTACAAAGACCAAAAAAAATGTCCAAAGAGGGAACACAGCTGCAACTGGGCTTCTTCTTTGATGTATGATTGACAGTCATTAGTTTGGCTGGTGTTCGAGGAGAGTATGATGTTGAACAGTGAGCAGAGGGACAAAAACATCAGTCATTTCAGGACATGTACCAAAACAACATGTTTACGTTCAAAGCCCTCTGGCGTCCATAGTAATTATGAGCGCAAAGGAGGAAGTCAGGTAACGCCATCAATGTAGGGAGGAGTTCAACATTATATTATTTTAAGCATGGCCACATTGTTCCATATATATCCAAACCCACATGCTCATTGTTGTTTCCATGATGACAAAGCTCCCCTACGTTAGTGAAGTAGTGATTTCGACTCGAGCCATAATGTTTCCCCAGCCTTAACACAGGACTTATTTTAACTCAAACCATGATGGTTCTCTAACAATAAACAAGTTTGTTTTTTTGTCTCAGAAACAAAACACACAAATTAAAAAGCTTGTATAGTATGTGTCGTTGTACAGCGCATGGATGTTCTGTTGGGTTATGTAAGGACAGTTACAGGAGAAATACGTACAATCACTTTGATTTTTCACCATGAAAATTCTAAATAACTTTTTCCAAGTGACAAAGACAAAGGACGGTAGTGTGCAGTTCGAATTTTGGTGATGAGCATTGAGCAGCTCCATTGTTGGAATTTGTTTTTGGTCTCAGTCTGTTGGTATAGAAGCAAGGGTAAGCAACCTGCACCTCCAGAGCCACATGTTGCTCGAAAGCCCCTCTCCAGTAATGCCTTGTGGCTTTGACACAAAACATTATATGGAAATGAATAATCATAATTTTACACACTTTAATTTTTATATATCAATGTTATATGCCTAGTTTTGAGTCTTCCTATCTGGTTAACTATGGATGCCAAATCCAAAAAAGTAACAGTCTGTGAATTGTGTTTGAGAGCTAAAGAGCTCAAAGGCGAGTTTAGTTTTTTGTTTACTTTCCTCACTTCTGTTTGTCTTGTCGTGCACTGAGCTAAACTGCCAGTCAGAGTTATTCCATTGGCCAACAGGCTCCGCTGTCTTTAACACTGATTCAACGTGCTGGATCAGCCGAAAAAAGCCGACAAAGGACCAACTAGTGCTAACGGTGCAGGACACACCACAAAAACAAAGGTGACAGACATGCAGCGGAGGCACGACGTTGACCAACGGCCGACCGCAAGATACCTGTGCTAGTTTTACACTGTGTGCCATGTGTGCATTTTGCATTGGCAACCTTCACCACATGCATATCTTGATTTTAATTTAAATCTAATCAAACACCCATCCATTCTTGGTATACTTGATGTCCCTTCAAGCTTAAAATGTTTTGCACAAAATATCTTATATATACAGTACAGGCCAAAAGTTTGGACACACCTTCTCATTCAATGCGTTTTCTTTATTTTCATGACTATTTACATTGTAGATTCTCACTGAAGGCATCAAAACTATGAATGAACACATGTGGAGTTATGTACTTAACAAAAAAAGGTGAAATAACTGAAAACATGTTTTATATTCTAGTTTCTTCAAAATAGCCACCCTTTGCTCTGATTACTGCTTTGCACACTCTTGGCATTCTCTCCATGAGCTTCAAGAGGTAGTCACCTGAAATGGTTTCCACTTCACAGGTGTGCCTTATCAGGGTTAATTAGTGGAATTTCTTGCTTTATCAATGGGGTTGGGACCATCAGTTGTGTTGTGCAGAAGTCAGGTTAATACACAGCCGACAGCCCTATTGGACAACTGTTAAAATTCATATTATGGCAAGAACCAATCAGCTAACTAAAGAAAAACGAGTGGCCATCATTACTTTAAGAAATGAAGGTCAGTCAGTCCGGAAAATTGCAAAAACTTTAAATGTGTCCCCAAGTGGAGTCGCAAAAACCATCAAGCGCTACAACGAAACTGGCACACATGAGGACCGACCCAGGAAAGGAAGACCAAGAGTCACCTCTGCTTCTGAGGATAAGTTCATCCGAGTCACCAGCCTCAGAAATCGCAAGTTAACAGCAGCTCAGATCAGAGACCAGATGAATGCCACACAGAGTTCTAGCAGCAGACCCATCTCTAGAACAACTGTTAAGAGGAGACTGCGCCAATCAGGCCTTCATGGTCAAATAGCTGCTAGGAAACCACTGCTAAGGAGAGGCAACAAGCAGAAGAGATTTGTTTGGGCCAAGAAACACAAGGAATGGACATTAGACCAGTGGAAATCTGTGCTTTGGTCTGATGAGTCCAAATTTGAGATCTTTGGTTCCAACCGCCGTGTCTTTGTGAGACGCAGAAAAGGTGAACGGATGGATTCCACATGCCTGGTTCCCACTGTGAAGCATGGAGGAGGAGGTGTGATGGTGTGGGGGTGTTTTGCTGGTGACACTGTTGGGGATTTATTCAAAATTGAAGGCACACTGAACCAGCATGGCTACCACAGCATCCTGCAGCGACATGCCATCCCATCCGGTTTGCGTTTAGTTGGACGATCATTTATTTTTCAACAGGACAATGACCCCAAACACACCTCCAGGCTGTGTAAGGGCTATTTGACCAAGAAGGAGAGTGATGGAGTGCTGCGGCAGATGACCTGGCCTCCACAGTCACCGGACCTGAACCCAATCGAGATGGTTTGGGGTGAGCTGGACCGCAGAGTGAAGGCAAAGGGGCCAACAAGTGCTAAACACCTCTGGGAACTCCTTCAAGACTGTTGGAAAACCATTTCAGGTGACTACCTCTTGAAGCTCATGGAGAGAATGCCAAGAGTGTGCAAAGCAGTAATCAGAGCAAAGGGTGGCTATTTTGAAGAAACTAGAATATAAAACATGTTTTCAGTTATTTCACCTTTTTTTGTTAAGTACATAACTCCACATGTGTTCATTCATAGTTTTGATGCCTTCAGTGAGAATCTACAATGTAAATAGTCATGAAAATAAAGAAAACGCATTGAATGAGAAGGTGTGTCCAAACTTTTGGCCTGTACTGTACATACATGTACAAGGTTAGAAACAAACTCTCGTGGTCTGGCTAGACACCCTGTGACAATCTTGATGGGAGAAGAGGAGAAGGAGAGGAAAAAAAGGAGAGGATTGCAACGATCAAATCCCCTTTTCCCACTTGTCTGTGTTTAAAATAGCCTAAAATCGAGAGATGAAGGAGAGCGGTGGCTACTGAGGTCTACACAGTCTTTGAGGTTCAGGGTATTTCTCACCATTTTACTGCGAGCTCAAAAAGCCCGCATCCTGCTCCATGAATAGAGCTGGAAATACACACACACAGATACACACTCAGACACCGGTACCCCCTGCCTGGCAGCCTCTTTGTAGCCATGTTGTGATTGTATCAGATGTGGAGCGATAGAGGTTCGGCGTATGGGGGCGCTGGTAGGGGGATGTGTGAATTTGTAATGTGCTTATGCTGGAACCTCAAAGACAGGAGATAGGGGCACCCAAAGCTGTGTTATACTCCCACACACTCGCTCAAACACACACTCACACACACTCACACGCTGTAGGGAGTGGAACTCTAGCTCCCTGAACTCCTTTCATCTACTGAAGGTGGAAGTGAGTGCAGGGTTTCCTGGAGTCACAGCGAGATTCAGCACTCTCTATATCCTCTAAAATACTACTGCCTGCTGACAGCGTGTGTGTGTGCGTGTGTGTGTGTGTGTGTGTGTGTGTGTTAGTGCGGTTCAAAGGCTCAGAGTGCACAATGTTGAGGTGAGCTATCAGTGTGTGATCTTGGGCTCTATGTATAACACATCACAGTTTGAATTATTGCATTAGCCCATATAGCAGCTTTATTAAGGCGGCTCTGCAGAAGCGAGGCACAGGCAGGTTTATGAGATTTATACTCGACATGCGCTGCAGGTTTAAGTCAAGATTTTACTTTTTCTGGATATTGTTGTTCCTCTGAGGTAAAAAACTACGACTGCAAGGCCTTTTAAGGGCTGTGGAGGCAGTGAGGCAGTGAGACTGTTTGCTCATACTACTGGACACTATCTATCAAATATCTCTTGAATCCTTGATCTGTTTTGGTATATACATATAAAGTCGAG